GTCCACTAAAGGAGGGAGGGCGTTCTCGCATTTAGATCCTAACTCTGGAATAGCCTTCCTGATATTTTCGAGGCTCAGACTCGCTGTCCCAGTTTAAAACTAGATTAAAGACGCATCTCTTTAGCCAAGCATTCACATAATGCTTACCTTTTATACCACTGTTGAATCAGATCGAATGCATTAATTTTATGAACAGCAGCTATGCTAATTATTTCCCATCTGCTTTTCTGCTGTTATCTCGGGACGCTAGTCCCGAGGTAAATAGCGTTCGTCAGCTCCAGCTTGTATCCAGCCTCTCACGGAGACTTCAGATGCCCCAACACCTGCGATGAGATGACTAAACGCCTGTGAAGAGACGACTCGACGCCGGCGATATGTTATGCCCTAAATTAATACATGATTAACTAACTGTATTTTTTCAATGTACATTTCTGAAATGCACTTTCTGTAAAGCTGCTTTGAAACAATGTGTATTGTGAAAAGCGCTACAAATAAATTTGAATTGAATTGAATGTAATGTTCATCTATGGTGTAAAGGCTGTATCTTTAAATGCATTCATTATATTAAGTTGCCAGTCGTTGTTTAGAATGCATTGCAGTACTGTTGTTTGAGGTTTTTATGAGTTCAACTTGCAACTTGTCACACAATCATCACTGTTGTCTTTCACGCCTGCCAAACCCTAAACACAACAACCCACTGACAACATTACAAATTAAATAAACAAGAGATCAGACTATTATCCGCGAGGAGGGTCCACTAATTTTAATTAGAATTAACAGAAATACCAAACGGCTAAAACATCCAGAAATAAAAATGTTCCTATGAAAAACAAACGAATTTACTTTAAGATACTTTCACCCTATTATTTAGACAAAACTGTAAATGTATTTAATTGTGTGTGTGTGTGTGTGTGTGTGTGTGTGTGTGTGTGTGTGTGTGTGTGTGTGTGTGTGTGTGTGTGTGTGTGTGTGTGTGTGTGTGTGTGTGTGTAAAGCCGATTCTCTCTTCTCTTCAGTCACTTTTAAAGATTGCCTTTCAAATATCAAAGCTCCTTACTTGTGACCGTTCGAAAAAAAACTGTCGGACTCTACTATTTTCCCATATCCAACATATAAAAGAATATTTTATAATAATGATATATCACATATGCCTTAGCTTAAACTTGTTTTACACATAAAATTAGTTAAATTACATATTCCATTGGTGTAAACGATTTCAGAAACTTTGTATTACCTGCACTTATCGTGTTTATTGCCTCTATGTAATGAATCGCTTGTTGTATTCCTCGTTTGTAAATCGCTTTGGATTAAAGCGTCTGCTAAATTAATAAATATGGCCTAGGAAAAGTATTAATAAAAAAACGTGTTAAAGATTTTGTAAGCATATTGCGTAGTTGTGCTCAGCGTCAATTATTTTATTTGAGATAAAGCAAGAAACATGTTAAATTGTGCGGACAAATGTTTGGCCATGCAGTCTATCATACAAAGAACACATGCAAAAACAAGAGAAAACCAACAAAATATTAATAACTGATGGTCTATTAATAAGTAATATTAATATAATATTAATAACTTAGTCAGTGTATGTTTTTTCCTGTGAGCTTTTTGCTTTTCTTTGCATTTTTTTGTTGTCGCACTATATAGCGACACACTTCAAACCTGTAGATGGTATCTTTCCGTCTAATGCTCCGATCAGTCATTGACATGTTCTCGCCAAGTAAATTAAAAAGCAATCTGCCATGATTGTGCTGATTACAGCGGCATGTGTGTGTGTGTGTGTGTGTGTGTGTGTATTCCCATCCTTTCCCATTCACATAAACAGCATTTCAACAAAAATATACGCACCCACCTATAAGGAGATAGAGAAAGTGACTGGGCACGCTCGAAGTGATGCGTGAAACAAACCCTCAACTACTAATCTATAAAGCAATAATAGTGAAATGAAAAACATAAATGAAAAAGAAAACATCTATAAGCACGACATAGTTATTTTACGAGTAAACATTACATTTAAAAAAAAACAAATTACATATATCCTAATGTTGAAAAAAAAGTCGTGGCAGCCATAACAATATATTTACAGAGGCCTATATACAGTCGACACAGCTTTTATTTAGTGTTATAAAAAAGTACAATACAAACCTGATTTTAACGAAGGAGAAATATTGGTTAGAGATTTGAAATTATAAGGAAATATTGTATTGTAATATTGTCCGAACTTACATTCAACATTAAAACATTATAGACTGTCAGATAGTTTCTTTTTCAGAAATATCAACGAGCCTAAATATTTTTCTTGCTTCTTTTTTTTTTTTTCTCAGAAAGAAAGGTTGCACAATAAAATTCCTTTAAACCACCTACATATAATAATTATACAAATAGTCTAAAAGTAGAAGCTTAAAAATATTTTTCAGGGCACTACAATATATAACTACAGTGATCACCAGAATATTACTTTCCATAAGTGCGATTGTGAAGGTGTCACACGGCAGTGAACTTGTGGAACCCTTGACTGATCCGTCTGTCTCGCTTCCTTTCAAACAATTCATGTCCAGTTAAGTGAACCTTCAGAGTTCACCGTGCTCCAGAATTAGCTCTCTGTTTCCCTACCAAAAAAGTTAAAAATAGCCGTCATATATGGCTGTCTTTAAATCTGAATTTAAGTAATTTCCTCAATAAATGTATAGGCTGAATAAAGGCCACATTTCAATGTTTCATTAGAGATGTGTAACTGTGGTTATATCCATAAACTCTTTTGTAGACATGAGATATTTCATTTTAATTGTTCCAATTTTGTCATTAATGAGATCTAGCTACAACAACGTGACTTTTTATTCAGACAGAAACATGAAAATTAACATTAAAAGAGAAGCAAAACAGTTACTTATGCGTTTATTAGATATTGTACTTTTTACACACCCGTAACTGTACGTTTTCCTGTAAAAAGTATTCTCTAAAATTTAACAATAAATATTGCGAACCGTGCTTTACCGCTATGACGCCAGTGTTCTAATGATGAATTTTTGCAAAACTGAGTTATGTCATGCTAACGTGACTAGTCGAACAATGTGGCTTTCCTCTTTTTAAGTGGCCATGAATTTCAAACGGGCAATGTGTCAAACATTTTATTGGAGGACGTCATGGAAAATGTGAACACTGAGACAAGACAACGAATTAGTCTATTAACTAGTAAAGTTATTATTATTATTATTATTATTATTGATGTTGTTGCTATCGTTGTTGTTTATTATAATCACATTTACTGCTACTAATAATAATAAAAGCAATAATACTAATAATGACAACAACTATATTTGACTTGAGCTCGGTTATTGGCAGTGTTTGAGCGAGCTAAAAAAAACACCACCTAGGGAACTATTTGTTTGCACATACCGAGCGAGTGAACTCCTGGCTACTGCATCAATCACATACGAGTTTGCGATGACGTTGAAGAACTTTTGCATACTTAACTACACAAATCGATGAAAAAAACTATTCTAAACACATTTGAGGATGTATTTTCTGTGGATACTGGATTTTTAAGGGGTAATGTGAGATGAACATGAGACATCAGCAGAGTAGCGTTAAAACTAAAGGCCCTTAACAAATGAACACATCAACCTTAATTAAATGCAGAGGGCGAGACCAAACTGGGTGGTCCATACTTGATAAATGTACGGGCCCCTTTCCAAGCCTTAAAACAATACCTCTATCAATGTGCATTCCTGCATTGAGCAGCACCATGGTCCAAAACCTCCAGGGTAGCTGATAACGGAGATATACTCCTGAATGATGATAGCTTGCATTTCTTGTGCCATGACGGCAAGATATGTCAATAATAACATATTAATTGTTATTTTTTTAGATTAGTCAATTGTTTTGTTTTTTTCAATTATTCAATTACATTTGAAAGTTCTATGCAAGTTGCAAGTTAGATATCGTATATATACCAAATAACCAAGATTTCTGGAAAGAAAGAAAGAAAGAAAGAAAGAAAGAAAGAAAGAAAGAAAGAAAGAAAGAAAGAAAGAAAGAAAGAATTTCTGCAGCAATAGTCCTGATTAACTGTTACATTATTATATGCATTACATGACGCATTTGTTTTACTCGCGTGTCCAAAAACAATCACAATTAGACAATAATCATATGTCAGTCGTTTGATTTGACTTCAGCAAAGCAAAAACTCACGCGGTACATTAGTGAATATAGATGTGCCGTGTGAACTTGCCTTGATTAAGTGACACATCTTGACTGCAGTCTTCAAGCGAGTATCCATGAACCCGATACGACCCCAAAACCTCCATTCTTCAGTTCTTAATCAGTTCAGAAATCTTTAAATGTACGTGTAAAACTCAAAATGGTGACGTGGCTTTGTGGATTAGCTGCACTGGAGATGCTTTTTGCTTGATATTTGATTTAAAGAAGCTCAGGGGAAAATGTTTACATTTTGCAGTATAAACATCCTCCTCGTGTTCCTGCCTATCTGAGAGAGAGAGAGAGAGAGAGAGAGAGAGAGAGAGAGAGAGAGAGAGAGAGAGAGAGAGAGAGAGAGAGAGAGAGAGAGAGAGAGAGACTTGCTTTTCATTCAATTAAGGATTTAAAAATGGTGTTATTTCTTAAAAAAAAAAAAAATTCGTATTTTTTATTTATTAATATACGAATGGTTTAAAGTGCAAAGTAATTAAGGTAGCAAACACATTAATTAATTAATTAATCATTTATACATCATTAATATGATCAAAAATACCCAAAACGCAGTGATCATCCATTATGCTATTAAAAGTTTAATTTATTATTAGTTTTAAATAATTTTTGTATTGTTCGAAAAAAGTCTCGATACTAATGTGGACTGAATATGCTATTTTATTTTAAAATAAATAAGACTATAAACGCGCTTTATTTAATAGTGTTCTAGTTGTGCATATGTTGGTGAAGCCCACCCCAGCAGCGCTGACAGTGGGAGGGACACTGGGCGGCCCCTGAGCGACTCTGACTCAAGAGCCTGAGAGGAGCTGATGGAAACAGATAAGTAAAAGCCCAACTCCATACTGGAAGAACAAGAAGACAGGATCTGAAGCAGAAAGAATATCTTTTCCCTGCAGTATCCAGTTTTATGGTGGGTAGTATTACAAGGATAGTGCGCAATTACGCATAACCAAAGAAAGAAGAGATCATTCCAGCATTGCATTCCGTTATTAATGAAAGCCGCGTAAAATCGCAGTCTTTTTTAACGTGGATTTTGACGTGTGCGTGAATAATGACGGCTGAGGTCCAGCAGCCCTCCGTGCAGACCCCTGCTCACAGTAGCCCCATGTCGGAGAAACCGCACGGACAGACGCCTGTGATGGAGACCTCCTCTTCCTCCTCCAGCACCAAAACTAAAAAGACGAACGCTGGAATTCGTCGTCCTGAAAAGCCCCCGTACTCTTACATCGCTCTCATTGTCATGGCCATCCAGAGCTCTCCAACCAAACGACTCACTCTGAGCGAAATTTATCAGTTCCTACAAAGCCGCTTCCCGTTTTTCAGAGGCTCGTATCAAGGCTGGAAAAATTCGGTGCGTCACAATCTGTCTCTGAACGAGTGCTTTATCAAGCTGCCCAAGGGTCTGGGTAGACCCGGTAAGGGCCACTACTGGACCATCGACCCAGCCAGTGAGTTCATGTTCGAGGAGGGATCTTTCCGCAGGAGGCCGCGGGGATTCAGGCGCAAATGTCAGGCGCTCAAACCTTCCATGTACAGCATGATGAACGGGCTGGGGTTCAATCACATACCCGAGTCCTATAACTTTCAGGGGGGCGGCGGGGGCCTGTCTTGCCCTCCAAACAGTTTATCTTTGGAGAGTGGGATTGGGATGATGAATGGACATTTGGCCAGCAATATGGAAGGAATGGGCTTGGCAGGACACTCCATGTCCCATCTATCAACGAATAGTGGACATTCCTACATGGGCAGTTGCACGGGATCCTCAGGGGGTGAGTACCCCCATCACGACAACTCTGCATCGCCGCTTCTCGCCAGCGGGGGAGTGATGGAGCCGCATGCGGTGTATTCTAGCACGGCCTCGGCCTGGCCTCCAGCGCCCCCGGCCTCTCTAAATAACGGGGCGTCTTACATCAAACAGCAGCCGCTCTCTCCGTGTAACCCGGGAGTCAATCCACTGCAGCCCAGTTTACCCACACACTCTCTGGAACAGTCCTACCTGCACCAGAACGGCCACGGCAACACCGACCTTCAAGGTAAAGTTTTCAAGATGATATGACCCCGACAGACATATTTAACAGAAATATTCTATCTCGTTATATGTGTTTAATTTCATGAATAGGTGAGAGGTATTAATGGATCATTTTTAAAACAACACAACTGAAGCTAATGTCTTGCCAACAGTCGAGCTAAAGTTATGCCACATAACGACACAAACATTTGTACAATTATGCTTTATTCAATTAATGTGCTGGGCAAATTTTTTCATCAATGCTCGTGTATTTTGTCGAGAAACTAGTGAATACAGAATCACTGCATTTAATTCGCGTAACATGGGAACAGTAATGCAAAGTGTGATCAAAATTTCACTTTAGCAAAACATTAAAAAGTTTATCCATGCTTTGTTTTCTTGATCATTTGGTCAGTCTTTAGTAAGCTTCTCGCTCACATATTGACATAATTCTGTACATGCATAATTAGAAGTGATTTCAGCCCGATTGCTGTAATCTCTACTGGGGCAAGAGCAAGAAGAACCACGCCACGAGCCCCGCAGCAGTGTGTCCGTGGGGAATCGCGTGCAAGCAGTCGTTTAAAAACGATCCCACCCAGATCTTAAGACTTTCAGGTCTCTTCCAGGTCTCTCACAGCACTCCAATGCATTATCAGAAAAAAAACGTACTATAATCAAAAGCTATTTAAAACAATTTACGAAAACTTACAAACTTAATGATGACGCTTAACAATGTGTTGACAGGCCAAAATTATATGGTGACGCTTTTTAATACATTTCATTTATTAAAAAAAAAACAATATTATATAATACTTAAAAGATCATTATTATGTATGTCTACATTAATTTAGTTAGAAATATAATTAAAATTGTAGGATATATATATATATATATATATATATATATATATATATATATATATATATATATATATATATATATATATATATATATATATATATATATATATATCCTACATATAGGCCTAATTTGTTAAAGTTAAAGTTATTATCGAAAGTAAGTTTATGTTATAACTTATATTCCTGTAGCTGTTATAGCCATTTTCAATCTTAGAAGACCTTCAAGAAATGTTTTTTAAAAAAATCTCTCTCTCTATCGATCCTAGATAAACGAAGGTCGACAAATACCAGGCGTTTGACTCAATCAACAGTCGCTAAATCAACAAACAAACAAAAATGTGGATTGGAGTTTGATATACTTTACGATTAGAAATGTTTACAAGATACAGAAATATTTTCCCATTGAATGAACGACTGAATGTCACAGGCGAATGTGTAACTCATAAACATTTTTTATAATTTCTGTTGCAGTAGTGCTAGTAACAATTATAGTTTGGGGTTTAAAATGTCAAGAGCACTACAACAACATTAGCCTAGTTATATATATATATATATATATATATATATATATATATATATATATATATATATATATATATATATATATATATATATATATATATAAAACTAATGTGCCATATTTTGTTTCCCCGCAGGTATACCGCGCTACCATTCCCAATCTCCCAGCATGTGTGACAGGAAAGAATTTGTCTTCTCTTTTAACGCCATGACCTCTTCATCGATGCATTCACCAGGGAGCAGCTCTTACTACCACCATCAGCAGGTCTCATATCAGGACATCAAACCCTGTGTGATGTGACAGCATTATTACAAAGAAGACTTAATGCAACGACGAGAAACAGAGTAAACTGACCCAAAATAAACAAGGAGTGGGATATAAGTGGCTCTTTTGGAAAGAGACATGGAATTAAGAATTGCCGTTTATTACTAATCAGAACTTGGCCATAGAAACGCATTGTTAGAAAATTTCAAACTCAAAGGAGCACTTGGAAAAAACCTTCAGCTTCAGCTATCTGCGAATCATAAGATCGAGGACAGAAAAGCCACAGCATCTCGTTTCCAACAGCTCGGTACTAACTCTGCTGGCGGATGACTACCACACTCGGAGATGCAAAGATGAGTGAAACGCTCCGATGTTGATATATTGTTTTTAAAGACGAGTTTGTATCGTTTGGATAAACGTTTTCCTACAATCATTTTCATTTTGCTTAAAACGGTGAAAACCATAAGCACGCGAAATGGAGGCACTTTTAAACCCAAATGCGCAACTTATTTATTCTGTTAAAATGTTTAATTTTAGGCTACAATTATAGCCACAGTATTGACCACTTTATTGGCAATATTTGCCCAATGTAACATTAAGGTTAAATATAAGCACTGTTAGTTATTTTGATTGTTTATTTAGTTGTACAAACCTATATTGAAACGTCTTATTTCTCAAGCACTGTATAACATGTACATGGTGCAAGACATATCTTTTAGTAGGATTTTTGTGTCCCTTTTCAATGAATTTAAATATTAGTTGATGTAATCCTTCAGTTCAATTGAAAATTAAAGTAATGGCATGGAGTTTGCAATATCTGTTTTTAAAATATGACTTTTCTAAACAAGATATAGGCCTATGATGTTTTGTGAATTTAAATTCTGAATTCTATAGATTTGTGGACTAAATTTCTGCGTTATTCATCGAACCAGAAATTAAGCTTATTGAATGTAGAATTTAAAGACGCGAATTTAAAAATAATGCGAAATTACTACAATAATAATGTTTCAATTTTATTACCAGCAATAACAACACTAATAAACGACAGTTATTATTGTGTGCCACATTCTTCATGATTGATTTTATTCCTGGAGAGAAAAGTTGACCGCATAAAGCTAACACACATTTAATAAAACAAATATAGGCCTACATACAAAACCAAGCTATTTTTAAGAAGATATGGTTCAATAATATAGCTTAAAATGAAATATTATGAGACTTTTTTCAGTGAATCCGTTTTCTTTTAATATAATCCGCTAATGGGTAAGACGCCAAGAAATAAATTAATAAAACAAATGTTGTCTGGGTGGAATTGAAAAAGCTGAAGAGTATATATATATATATATATATATATATATATATATATATATATATATATATGTGTGTGTTTTGCTATGTAAGATAATAGGCCTATATCTCCCGGGGACAGTCGATCCAGTCAGTGTTTAAGTCTCGATTAATATTGAATATTTGAACAGACAAAGTCATCATGGAATTGTTTAGAAAGAAAAAAAATACACGGATAAGACATTCGAGTCACTATTAAAAATAAATATTCTTTAGGTTCAGCAAAGATCCCTTTTCTTGTCAAAAACATTGAGTACTGCATATCAGTTTATTGGTTTCTGGGTTAGATACAAGAACAAGAGAATACATTTTCTTTTTCGAAAAGGTTGTCCTATAGGACATCAGACTTTAAAAACATATCTCTTTTTTGTTCTAATTCGATGTTTTATTTTTTATAATAATCCGGCAAAAATAAGGAAACAAACGGTCAAAATAAATCAGTATTGGCAGAGCGTCTGGAGATCTTGCAGCACCCCTGCAAGATCTCCAGATGCTCTGCCAATACTGATTTATTTTGACCGTTTGTTTCCTTATTTTAGCCGGTTGACCCCCGCACGAGAGCACACACGAATCAACTATAGTGCGTGGCCATTACCATGCTGAACTTGTAAAGATTCCCATGGACACATGATCTTAGACGCCACACATGAGAAGAGCAAAGATGTCACAATTTTTACTCAGTGAATGTTTCTCAGGGCAAGTGCATTATTGACACAACTTGAATTATAATGACTTCTAAAAGATCTACATTTTATCATAATTAAATACTAAATTATTGACTAATGATATTTACATGTAATAGTACACGTCGCCTCTTGTATGTCGTGGCACTGTTTGGGTTAAGGTAATTCTGCCTGGTTTAAAACTATTTTTGTTGGTATAAACGGATGTATTTAGGTTCAGCAATATTAAAGACTATTTTTGATATTACATAATATTATCGGTAAAACCAGTTAATTTACACGTTAACATTTTCGGTTACCATTTAAGTGCAGTCGTACGAATAACGATGCTTTTGGAAAACAGCCCGTAATAGTAGCCTACTTGAACATCGCCATATATTATTTTCAATAGTAGGCTATATAGTGCTTTGGGCCTCGTTTACGATCTATCTTTTTTATGCGCGTTTCCCAAAAATGCACTTAACATGTAGGCCTACATGCGACTACGAGTTTTAAGTGGTATATTTAGAGTGTTACTGTTACTGTCTGTTCATGAAATGCTGAAATGTAAATCATTTGGCCTATATACAACTTTATGCGTAACGGTATAAAGTAGGCTACATAATTTACTTATGGGAGATGGTTTAATTTATTTTTCCTTTTTTATTTGATATATAATACAAATCAATCAAATTTTCTACAAGAAAATATTTTTTAGTTATTTTGTGCTTATACGCAATTACTGCTTTATTCTTCTGATTGCAATTTGCAGAGTTTCATTTGATCAAATTCACGACCAGCTGATAGAGGCACGAGCCTACAGGATCAATGGAGACAGCGGTTAACTGACCGATCACCCTCTGACTGATACTGATCGTATGGCTAGCGGATCTACATTGAAGAACACTGAGCTTTAGTAACATATTTGAAAAACAAGCGATGGTCTGATCTTTACTCTGCAGAAAAGATAATGTGACACCAAAGCTAAACAATATGGCTAGCAGTGCATAACGCCTTTAGGTGTCAAAGTGGAAAAAAGAAGGGGTTGTTAAAGATGTCATGGAAAAGACGCTTTGGGGAGCCACTCCTTCAATGAGTAGTGAAAACTGTAATGTCTTTACTAGTGATTGAGTTGCACCATTATTAACTATTTCTTTCTACTAAGCATTTAATAAACATACCTCTGCGTGAAGTAGGCCTAAAGGTCTTAATATAATATTTATTTTAGATAAAATGCCGTTTTCTGCACATGTATTTTAAACACTTTCTTGCTCCATTCATACAATTCACGAGTTCACACTTACATATAATTAGATGGAGTAAAGCTTTATTTGGCGTGCTGTCCGGGGGTAGAGCTCCGAGCTCGGAATTTGGCCCGAACCCAGAGTACTCCCAGTAGAACTAGAAGTGTGGAGAAGGGCTGGTGGAGGGATGCTGATAAACTGTCAAGGAACGGAGGAAGGTCTGCTATCGTTGATTAACTGAGTGCTCTCGTGTTAATTCTGTTAATTATCTGAACGTGTTCCTCCCGAACTTTGTTAATAAAACATCATTAAATGCACGTCCAGGTTGATCCAGGTTTTCTAACGTATTTACTAATACTAATTAACAAATTAGTATTAGTAAATTAGTAAAAAACAAGGAGTTCTTGTGAGGGACAATCCATGGCCATCTTGAAACTTTTTGTCCTCTGAGTAAATCTTGATGAATAACTTTAATTGTGGCATAATATATTGCTTTCTTTGATGTATTTTTAAAAACATCCAACTTTGCAGTTCCAAAAGATAAAATAGAACCTGCTAATGTAACCCCTCTGATTCTTTCATCGATTCCCCCAGAAAGGACCACACGAAGACAGAATGCTGAGTTCACTCATGCAGCGCATTTACTGGAGATAGCCTACATGAGAAAACACCAAAACAGGCATAAATTGTTGGTCCCTCGGTCACAAAACTGCCATTCACCTCGACAGCTCGGCTGGAACTCACAATTTAACAATCAATAAAGGACTTTTACATGATTATGAACTCAGTCCTTTTTTTCATATGCTTTCATGAACACAAAAAAAACCATAACATTATACAAACAATAATATATCATACCTGGAGATACATGAGAAAACACCAAAACAGGCATGAATTGTTGGTCAAAAGATGCACAAAACTGTTGAAAATCATATATCAAAATAATCAAAAGAATATACAGAAAGGAAAGAAATACAGCAGATGTGACGTATACAACACATGTATACATCACATGAAATAAAATAATCTTGTGCATCCTTATGGACATTTTTGTCTTTTCAGGGTTTTTTTATCACTTTACTTGTGTACTTAACTGCATAAAATTTGGCACAGGTGTGTATTTTTATTGGAATTTTACCATTTCACCGCCATTTCCTTTAAAGGTGCCCTAGAATTTGAAATTGAATTTATCTTGGCATAGTTAAATAACAAGAGTTCAGTATGTCATGGACATGACATACAGTGAGTCTCAAACACCATTGTTTTCTCCTTCTTATTTAAATCTCGTTTTTGAAAAACACCCCTGAAAAATAGGCGAATCTCCACATAACACCGACTGTGACGCAACAGTCGGGATCATTAATATGTACGCCTCCAAAAATTTGCATATGCCAGCCCATGTTCAATGTCAGGCAGAACCGAATCATCGGAAGTTCTGCAGGTGAAGAAACAAGCGAGGATCATAGGGAAAATGGCAGATCATGGAAACAAATGTTATGTTCCAGGCTGTGCAGGGGATGTGAAGACTTTACATACCCTTCCCACAGAAAATAAATGTCAACAGGCGTGGTTGATGTTTATCTATAATCGGATAACGTTACCGCAACAGTTTAATTCGAAGTTGTTAGTTTGCTCTGCCCATTTCACCACGGACTTATTTTCTAACCTGGGACAATATCAAACAGGCTTCTCTCAGCGTCTCATACTGAAGAAGGGGGAAATTCCAACTACACTCACCGCCCACTTTATTAGGTACCCCATGCTAGTAACGGGTTGGACCCCCTTTTGCCTTCAGAACTGCCTCAATTCTTCGTGGCATAGATTCAACAAGGTGCTGGAAGCATTCCTCAGGGAGTTTGGTCCATATTGACATGATGGCATCACACAGTTGCCGCAGATTTGTCGGCTGCACATCCATGATGCGAATCTCCCGTTCCACCACATCCCAAAGATGCTCTATTGGGTTGAGATCTGGTGACTGTGGAGGCCATTTTAGTACAGTGAACTCATTGTCATGTTCAAGAAACCAATTTGAAATGATTAGAGCTTTGTGACATGGTGGAAGTAGCCATCAGAGGATGGGTACATGGTGGCCATAAAGGGATGGACATGGTCAGAAACAATGCTCAGGTAAGCCGTGGCATTTAAACGATGCCCAATTGGCACTAAGGGGCCTAAAGTGTGCCAGGAAAACATCCCCCACACCATTACACCACCACCACCAGCCTGCACAGTGGTAACAAGGCATGATGGTTCCATGTTCTCATTCTGTTTACGCCAAATTCTGACTCTAACATCTTAATGTCTCAACAGAAATCGAGACTCATCAGACCAGGCAACATTTTTCCAGTCTTCAACTGTTCAATTTTGGTGAGCTCTTGCAAATTGTAGCCTCTTTTTCCTATTTGTAGTGGAGATGAGTGGTACCCGGTGGAGTCTTCTGCTGTTGTAGCCCATCCGCCTCAAGGTTGTGCGTGTTGTGGCTTCACAAATGCTTTGCTGCATACCTCGGTTGTAACGAGTGGTTATTTCAGTCACTGTTGTCCTACTATC